ATTGATGTTTTAGGATTCTTAGGATATAATCCTAGCAGTGGAATTGCTGGGTTATTGACTGATTCTTAAATGCTCCTTGACCAGGGTTTGAACCTGCAATTTTGGCATATTGGGACAGCACCACAACCAACTGAACTACCCAGCCAGGGCTAATCATTTAAAAAATGTTCTATTTATTTATTTTTATTTGTAACAAACTTGCCACTTCTGATTTTCTTGATATAAGGGTACATTTTCCTAGTCCTGGTATCCCTTAAGTTTTAGAGCCTTTGATATGCTAGGTCACCTGGGGACTCTCCAAAACAAGTATAAAGCCTGCAATGTTCCACAAATAATAAAATATTTCAGTATTTAAAATATTGCAATTACTTTTTGAGGCATTCTCTCTGGGATGAATGTCTTTATGACTGCGGTTTAGAAACAGCTCTCCTGAATTACTAGCCTGAACCCATTTCCTAGTTTATATGTTATAGTGGTTATAATGCCTTCAAGATTGCCTCCTTAAGTATTATAAACCATAAAAGAAATTTGTAAAGTAGCAAGATATAAAATTAATATTAGAAAATGAATTGCCTTATGAAATAAGTATAGTAAAATGTTAATGTAAGACTCTAGATGGTGGGTTCAGTGAAAAGTTCTTTTAAACTTGCACTATATTTAAAAATCATTGTGATAATTGAAAAGTAATAAAACAACCATAACAAAACAAAGAATAGCTTTAATGTGTATAACTGAATAGCTATATGGGGAAAGACAAATTCTTTATTTCTCAGATTGCACCCAGAACACTTTTTAAGTGGATCAAAGATATAACTTTTAAAAATAAAATTTCTAGAAGAAAACATGGATCTTTTATACTCTGAAAGTGGGGACATTTCCTTTTCAAACATGATTGAAAAACTCAAACACCATTAGAAAATGATAACTTTTTTAGAAAACCAATTTTAAACCAATGTGATTTAATTAAAACATACCTAAAGTTAGAGAAAAAATGACAATCTGGGGAAAATAGTTGCAACTTAATCTCAAGGAGTTAATATATTGAATTAATTAAAAAAAAAACTTTTGAAAATAGTGAAAGAGGTGACCACCAAATTTTTACAACAGTTGGCTAAATTATAGACTGTTTGCTAAAAAAGAAATACAATGTATTTTTACGGGTGATATTCAACCGCCTCTAAAATGAGAAAAATCTGAATAAAAATACACTGTTAGCATTTTTCACATATCCGACAAATATCCAAGTTTGACAATACACTTGGGTAGTGACGTTGTGGGGAAATTAACACTCTCGTCCTTTGTAGGAAAGCATGATCATACAAATCTATTAAAGGGGCATTTGCCAGTAATTAGAAAAAACACACATGAATTTACTCTCTAATAAAGCAACCCCACTTCTCAATCTATCACCAAAATCTTCAAACAAAAGACTGTTCATTACACTACACTGCTTAGAATGCTTCTTAGACATGATCGCTGTTCTGAAAATGTTACCTTCATACTATGGAATACAGTGAATGAATAATGATAATGGTGTCATTAAGCATGAGGGTTTTTCTCACCAAAGAAAGGAAGTAGAGGTGTACGAGTGTCAAGGTTAGACAATAAACCCTATAGTCCTGGACTTGAATTGAAGGTAAAAGTAGGAATTTATGATAAATTTTATCTTCAAAAAAAATAAAACCCTACTCTAAACATTCCGAAAGGCCTAGGTTAAATGACTAGCAGTGAGCATAGGTTGACTGGTATTTAAATGAAGCATACATAAAACATAGAGGTATCTGCCATATAATATAGTGATGTGGGCTCTGAAAGGGAAAATACAAACAAGTAAATTTGGGAAATTCTGAATTTCTTCTTGGAAATTATAATTGTCATAACATTAAATGCTCTGAAAAAGTCTCCAGTAAATATGTCTGAAAATATGTAACCACCAGGAACACTGTGTATCATAAGGGAAGAGATCAGGATGGCAGGGTTCCTGTTGTGTCCTCACTACACAAATGTGCCATAGGAACCATTTGGGGATCAGTGCTGCACGTGGAATGAAATCTGTGGATAATTATTTGTCATAGCAGGACAAGCAGTCTAAAGAGAGTTCCTGGTACCATGTACTAAATGAATGCATAATTTAGTACAATTGTTGTTATCTGCTAGATACTAAGTGCTTTGTTCAGTGTTGGGGATGTAAGGGGAAAGAAGAGCCTGACTGGTGGGGCTCAGTTGCTTGGGTGTTGTCATGCAAAGCAAAAAGTTGCTGGTTCATGTCCTGATCAGGGCACATGCCTAGGTTGTAGGCCTAGAGTAGCTCTGCTACAGATCAACCTGTAGGGTGTGGGTTTGACATAGGGTGCAGCCAAGAAGGAGGCCCCAAATAGGGATTTGGAATGGGGTCCAGAACTCAAAGGTGTCCAGGAAATATTAGAAAGATGTATAAGATGTTCTCACCCCTTCCCCCCAACAGGTGTGAGTTGGGGGAAGGGACACATGGAGCAGAAACATGCAGAGCTGTTTTGTACAGCAACAGCTTTGCAGCTAATCCATGGCATGGTCATTTAATACATCTATAACCTTTAACTTGCTGCATAGATATGTTAAATAGCTGTGGCCATGCTCTGAGCCAGGGGAATGGAAAGGGACTTCCCCCCAAGATGTAACTGGGGGCAGGTTCCCCAAGTGACAGTGCCTGCATGAGAGCTTGGCAAGATTGGCCCCATGACATGGGGCCACACCTGCCCAGACTCACGATGGCAGCCCAGTAAACTTGGAATAATACGGGAATGCTGGCAGGTGTAACTGATTGTAAGAGGAGTTGGAAATGGGGTTACAGAAGACGACTGGCGCAGGGATTTAAACCCAGACACTGCAGCTGTTGGGAGAGAGAACGATGTGGCTTTGCCAGAGTGGGGACCCCTGCAGCTTTGGTAGAAGAGGACCACATGGCTTTGGGGTGCTCCCTTTGGCCACCTGGCCTGGGAAGCAGGAGAGACTTTGCCTGGAAGAAGGGTGAAAGAACTCTTGCCAGTAGGCCATGAGAAGGTACCACATGGCTTTGGATTAATTAGCAGTCCTACCTGGACGGTGACACAGCTGATGGTGCCGGCAAACTGAATCACAGACTTCTACTTCTTTTCCTGAGTTATGGAACCCCAAATTAGGGCAGGGGGAAAAGGAAGCACTGTGGGGGTCTATGGATATCCAAAAGAACTTTGATATTTTAATGAAGACATTAGGTCACTACTTTAAGCCTGTATAGCATTAAATAAACATTTCCTTTCCTTTTCACAAGTCTCTGGCATTGAGAGATTCCTGTGGTGACAGACAGTTGAACCTATTGGGGGGTCCTTTCAATAATAGTATATCGTACCCGCCCCTTGGCTCTGTGTGGGTGTTCTGTAATAGGTTCTTGACTTCATGGAGGAAAGATTTTACAACATGAGTCCAGGTCACTATGAGGGTATGTTTAGTAATGCTGAGGACAGTAAAGCAAAGGAAGGGCTTAGGGTAGAAGAAGCAACAGGAGAGAGCCTCACTGGGAAGCCAGAAAAAAGGGGGCCTTGGAGATGGGTTCAGGGGTAAGCCTAGGATGAGCTGCTGCTGCTCGCTGCTCCTGTTTGCTAGTCTTGTGGGGAACCTTAAAATTTAGAAGGAAGTAAAAACATTCATGCCCCAAAGGTGGCATGGGCAAGCTCGAGTGAGTCTGAACTAATATCCTTTGTTTGGGGTGTTTTATATCTCTTCTGTGAGTGAGAATTTTAAAGAAGGGTTACAGCAGAATATCAGCTTTCCAGGTACGTTTTTAATGTGCTGATGCATCAAAATGAGCATATAGGGTAGTTTAGGATTATTCTCTGACCCGCTTTACTGCTTTACTTTTATCTTGGGTCTGTCTGGCTCTAATGGTTTTTTGTTGTTATTATTGTTGTTGTATTTTTGTTCCCATTATTTTATCTGTCCTTGGGTTTGGCTGGCACAAATGTCGTTAATCGAGTCTCTGTTCTCTATTTTCCCCAATCAGGGTGATTAAGGTATTTATTCTCTGGTTAGGGAGAAGAGGTATAATCCCTTTGCTCTTGAGTGACCCTGGTTAGGGTACAGAAGGTCTTCAACTCACCAGCTGGCTATAGTTGTTCAAATTGTTTGGCCTTGTTTAAGTTTCTTGTCTCACTTCCTCCATTTCACTTGCCCAGAATTCTCTGAGCTTCCTACTCTCCTGCCTCACAGGCAATGGAGAGCCCCTGAACAATTTGGAGTGTGGGGGCGAGGTGATTAGCCCTGTAGATGGACATGGAAAAACAAATAGATAAAGGGAGATATGTGACATTGCCTCCTGATGGACGAAGTGCATTACTAAGGCATCGGTAATGTGGCCAAAACATGACCAATGCCCTAGTTATGAGGTGTAATGCCCTAGTGTTTCAGAGGTGGAACTGATCGAACTTGGTTATTCATTAGCTCTATGTACATGGCAGTGGAGAGCAAGAGGCGGGAAACAATGAAATATTACAGCAGGTTTTCTAGCACAGGTTTCTGAGTTGCTAGTAACTCCAACAATTAAGAGAAAACAACACAGAAGGTGAAGTAAGTATATAGAAGAGGGTAATAAGTTTGTTGTGGAATTTCATTTGTTTTCTGTCATTTTCCTTTGGGCCTCTCACCTTTCTTGAGTAAATGAGCTTTGAAGATTCGAATGTGGAATCCCAGGTTCTAATCCCAGCAATCCTTCAATTCTAAGGGACCACTGTATTTTTGACAGGGTATTGGCTAATCCTTGGAGTGCTGCCTCTAAAGCTTGTCTAATACTAATGGGAAAAGTTAGTGTGAGAGGCTCCAAAGTCAACTACTAAAAACTATGTAACATGGTAGTCACTGGTAGGTATGTGGCTTGCACTGTTGTATTTCTCAAAACATTGTTTGCTTGAAGCCTATGAAAGGAAATACAAATTTAAACATTCTACTCAACACCCATCTCTGTGTGTGTTTCTGGTTTTAATGTGCAGGGCAGGAGAGAATTGGAAAAGATTCCAACTATGAGCAGGAGGGGAAAGTTCAGTTCGTGATTGATGCGGTCTACGCTATGGCCCATGCCCTGCATCACATGAACAAGGATCTCTGTGCCGACTACCGGGGCGTCTGTCCAGAGATGGAGCAAGCTGGGGGCAAGAAGTTGTTGAAGTACATCCGCAATGTTAATTTCAATGGTGAGTCTCCAAACAGTCATGCTTTCGGAAATCCTGGGTTGGCATTCTGTTTCATAAGTTACCTCTTGAATGATTATTTTACTCTTGAGTATGTGTCGAAACCTAGTTGATTTTATAATTTCAAATGATTTAACCAATATATGAATGAATGAGTAGTGAGTGAATAAATGAATAAATATTAGGGGGCTTCTCCTCCTTTCCTTTGAATAAATTTTTATATGAGATAAATTTTTTTCTCAGTGAATATAAGTTCAGAATGGTGATAAACACACAAATTTATTACTTACTGTACACCAACTATGTACAGTTATTTTTGTCTTCAATCTTATAGTCGAACACTGTCTTCCAAAATTACTTGTATTATTTTTTTCTTCTTCACCCTGTTCAGTTTAGTTCTGTTTGGAATTTGTAATATAGCCAGGTTTATTTATTGCTGTATTCAGTTTTGTTTTATAATATATGATGGTTAATTTTATGAGTCAGCTTGACTGGAAAAAGTGATGATCAGATGGCTAGTAAAACAGTATTTCTGGATGTGTCTATGAGGGTGTTTTGGAACTAAGTAAAGCAGAAGGTTTTCCCCAAAGTGGGTCCCTTTCTGAAGAAAACCAAAAGGCAGTAAGTCAGAAGGGCAGATTCACTCTCCCTCTGCTTGAGCTGAGACATCCATCTCCTCCTGCTCTCACACATGGATGTCCCTGGTTCTCAGGCTTTCAGACGCAGATGGGGACTTAAAACCTTAACATGGGGGAAAGTTACAACATTACTTCTGAGGTCTTACTGCTAAAAATATATAGCCTCAATCTACTCCTAAAGAAACATAGACAAATTCATCTTTATGGACAGTTTACAAAATAACAGGCTAGTACTCTTCAAAAGTATTCATAGTGTGGCCCTGGCTGGGTACTTCAGTTGGTTAGAGTGTCACCTAAATAGGACAAGGTTGTAGATTAGAACCCTGGTGAGGGCACATACAAGAAGCAACCAATGAATGCATAAATAAGTGGAACAACAAATTGATGATTCCCTCTCTCTCTCTCTGTCTCTCCCCTCCCTTCTCTTTCCCCTCCCACTTCCTCTTCCCTCCATCCCTCCCTCTCTCTAAAATCAATCAATATATATATATATATATATATATATTTTAAAGTATCCACATCCTGAGGAAGACAGATGAAGGAATTGTTTCAGACTGAAAAAGATTAAGGAGACATTACTGTAAAATGAAATGTGGAAAAATTAATTGATCCTATGCCAGAAAAAGGACATTAGTGAGACAGTGGAAAAATTTTAATAAAATTTGCAGATGAATTTTAAGTAGTAATATACCAATATTAATTTCCTGGCTCAGATAATTATATTAAGGTTAAAGAAAACCTTCTTGTTTCTCTGCTTATAAATAAAAATCCATTTAAACTCACAATATTATATCATTCTTCCAGGAGTTACCTAGTATTTGGATGAAAAGGAACCACACACAATTTGGGCATAAACAGTTTTCTAGTTTAGATGGAGACAATATTTCATCAATATTTCTCTCCCTCTCATTCTCCCTCCCTTCCCCTGTGTCTAAAATTAAATAAATAAAATCTAAAAGAACAGGGAAAACAATATGTTAAAAAAGAAAAGGAGACTGATGTATAGAGAAGTAAGAATCATGTGATACAAAACCACACACATAGGTAGTAATGATCTACAATTGGTACCATGAGCGCCTAACTCCACAGGCTGCCTCCTGTAAGTTCCAAGAGGAAGGGCTGACTACTTCAGTGCTGCTTTGTCATCTTAGAATGATTGCTCTGTGGGAGGTCACAGGCAGGATTACTTGTTTTTCTCTCTTTCTTGTCATTGCAATTTTACCTATGCTCAACAAAATTGCCTTTTCCCTGAGGATTTTTTTTCTGGCCATATGAACAGCCAGGAGACTTCTGGCTCTGGGCACACTGTGACATTTGTGGATGGTGAGGCTCAACAATTTGGTAAAACCTGGAACCTGTGTTAGATTTAATTCATGGATTCCATGCTACTTTAAATGAGTGACTGTTAGTGAAAATAAACTTGACATTTTCCACTCATTCAATTCCTTGACTTTTATAAAAAGATATCAAATAATAGAGAGGAAAAAGTCTTTGTCCAAGACTTCACAGCTAGAAATTGACATGGACAGAACTAGAAACCAAGCCTCTTTCTAGTTTGTTGTGCAAAATTTAGCCTCTCTTTAGCATGTTTAGTAGTTTGATTTTTTTTTTTTGGTTTCAGTAAACTTAATTGTTCTCTTTTTTTACTTTAATACAAAATTCTCTGTACCCCTACATGTTTTGTTCCTGACTAACTTAATAACTCTGACCTTCACATTTACCAAAACACCAATTTAGGAAATGATAATAGAATGAATGCCCTGAAAATATTGCTATAGTTTCACCAAGGACTTAACTTCTTCTTATGCACCATTTTTCCAGAAAAAATGACTAATGACTTATTTCACCTTTATCACTTCTAGCCATGTTTTTCTCTGCATCCCAAATCAATGCAATGACCTGAGCCTAAATTTGATTTTGTTATATCTATGTTGGCCTATCTAACCAGATGTCAATACATATAGATGTAAATTTAACAAAGTTGTTGCCTTGGATACAAACAGAAAATTGCTATGTAATGATATATTTAAGCTTAGGTATGTCTGTACCTAGATTTATTCATTTTCAGAAGATGACCTGGGTTGCAGTATATTCTGTAAAGATGGCACATACCATGTGCTCTCTTTAAAACATCAAGTTAGCTTTCCTTCTTCAAGAGGTGAGATCTACATTCTCCTGAGTGAATTCTCCTCTTGAATCTGAATGAGCCTGTGACTAATGCAGAAATGACACTCTATGACTTCTGAGGCATACAAGTTAATAGGGCTTCTGCCCCATTCTCTTGGGACATTTGTTTTGCAAACATATCTTCCATGTTGAAAGGAAGCCAAGAAGCCAAGTGGACAAACCACATGTGGGTGTCATGGCCGTAGCCCCAGCTAAGATCCCAGATGACAGCTGGCATCAACTGCAAAGTGTGTGGGCTTCAAGCTGCCCAGCTTACTTGAGTGAACCAGAGAGGTGTTGTCCCCATGCTCTGCCCAAATTGCAAAATCCAGGCTGTCACTGTTTGGAGCGTGAAGTTTTAGGGTAGTTGGCTGAGCAGCACTAGGTAAATAGAACATAAATCAGTGCAGTGTTCATGGAATCTGTACATGGGGTGGTAAAATGAAAAGAGGAGACTTACAAACATATTGATGGGGAGGACTGTCTGGTCATCTGAACAATCTGAATCCTAGAGCCTTCTCTAACCAGGAAGAAAGGACTTCATTCAGCAGTCTGATCCATCGAACCAGTACCCCACCTTGTCAAGAGGCCCTGTTCCCTTTACCTCAGTGCAACTGTATTGTAGCCCGGATACCTGTAGACATTTCTGCAGGTGGTCACTTCTCTTTTGATAACTTCTTTCTCTTCTCTGGACTGCTTTGATTATTTTTTTTTTTTAATGCAGGAGGAGGGCAAAAGTAGTTAAACAGTTGCAAATATGCAAGTATTTCCTCATTTTATTATTTATAAATTATTTATAAATTATGTAAACCTTCCCTTGCCCACCTCTGTATAGACTTCAGTGAACCTAGCCCTGTTTTTTCTCTTTTGAGAAATTCAGTCATGCTGTTTAAAAGGCGTTCAGAAAAAAATAACTGGAAATAATAATCCATCTGCTTTATGGAATCCATCAAAAAGGTCAAAGCCATGCAATACACTATTACAAGTCATCACTTAAAGTATTCAGCTCTTCTGTCTTAATTTTTTTTAAAGCATGATCTTTAATGAGAATGGAAAGGGCATTATAAGAGTCATTTCTCCTAACGATTATAAGAAGGGAGAATGATTGGATGGTGTGTCCCATTCTGATGAATATTTATCTGGTGAGCCTGAGATCCTTTGGAGCCCCAGGCCTACAATATTCGTCTTCCCTCCCCTCAAAGACTATGAAAGCTCATGTCATATTATTTAATGACTAGAAGCTGTACAATTACAGCAAAGCACAACATAAATCCTAGTACCCAATGTGAAATAAAAGAAAGGTATCTGAATACTAATGTTTTCCTGTGAAATGCTAGGATTCTTTTCTTGCTAACAGCATGTGAAATTCAGATTTTGTTTGTTCTCATATATACTTGGAAGGCTCACTGAAAGAAGAAAGCCTATATTAAAAACTTATTTTTGTTAACTTTTTTCTCTCTATATAAAAAAGACTCCTGTCGATTCCTATAAAAGAAAGTTTTAGAGATCTTACTGTGCTACAGCAGGTACCTTTGTGGGCTACAGGGATGGTGTCTAGGTACAATGTAGATGAAACAAATTAATACAGTGCCTTTGACCACACACAGATTCAGCCACTGACTCAAGCTATCGAGACCACCCCTACATTGCTCATAGATCAGTGCCCACTCAGAGTGAGCTCTTGCCTGCTGTTTAAAAACAAACAAACAAACAAACAAACAAAAAAATGCTTACACTGATAGAGAAATTGAAATTAGATACCCCTTCGGGAAGTCAACTTCAGTACATTTGAAAGTCTGGATATCTGAAGGCAAGTGTTCTAGTCCTGAGATACAGCAAATAAAACAATGATAAAACATAAAAACTATTTTAAAAAACTATAAAATATCATTATCATTGATTGTGCACTTATGTAAAAGGCATGGAATTTTTGTGTATATACAGAGAGATAATACATTTACTCCTTACCAACACTAATGAGAAAAATATCATTAGCAACAATCAGATGTAGAGGGAGACTGAATAATTTAATACAGGTCACCCCTGTTTTAGGGGATTCCAAAGCCAGTTACTAAATGCTATTGTAGCTTAATTAGCTTAGAGGCCCTGGGGCAAGTGACTGCCCCTTTCTGAACCTAAGTACTGTATCTGTAAAATTAGGAAGTATAATGTTCCATGTCCTCCAGCTATGGAGCAGTTTCCTATGGCTACTCCCAAAAAAGAACAATAAATGTAATGGCATGAACAACACAAATTTATTATAACTATGTAGTTCAGACGGAAGTCTGACACATTGTCCCTGCATTGTGCTTAAGGTGAACACGGGGCTGGCTCCTTCAGGAGCCTCTAGGGGAGAATTGCTCGCCTTGTCTTGCTTCTGGAGGCCACCGGCATTCTTTGGCCATAACCCCTTCCACTCATCACTCCAAACTCTTGTTTTTATCGTCACGCCTCCTCCTCCCTTTTTTGACTTTTACTGCCTCTCACTTATAAGGATCATAATGATTATACTAGACCCACGCAGATTGTCCATGATAATCCCTCCACCTCAGGATCCTTAGTCACTGCAAAGTCCCTTTTGCCCTGTGTGGTGGCACTCAGGTTCTGGAGACTAACACATGGACATATTTGCAGAGCAGTTATTCAGCCTACCAGAGCTCTGATTTTTCTTTTCCATTTTAATACCAGAAATGTCATAAAATCCTGTGCCTGGCCATTGTAAAATGGTGTGGAGTTCTTTAACTGCCCCTGTGTTCTGTGATTATGTTGGATACCCCTCCCAGTGGGGGGTCACTTTCAGCGCAGGATTGCCTCTTTGTATGCCTCTTGTTCCTCTCATGGGCCCATTTTCTGACTCTCTTCTTGAGCTGAGTGATCACTTGTGTGGGGCAACGTTCACCGTCCTCCTGCTTCTGAAGCACTGGCACCTCTTTACTGTTTTAACCATACTCTCTCCCTCTAGTTAACATGCTTTTGTTTTTCCTTCATTCAGATCATTCATGTAAATGCCACCTCAGCCCAATTCTGCAGAAGCTAATGACTTTGCTAACCAGATGCAGAGCTCTGCCACTATCAGTATTCAATTTACCATCAGAATTTAATTTATGATGTATAAAAGTGCTTCATTCTCTTCTCCCAAAACAGCACGATGAACTTCTGTTCTCAGTGATTTGGGTTCAGCTAGTAAACAAACTATCTGTAAAATTCCTTGTACAAGACAGGAAACAGAGCTTTCTTTATTACAAGGAATATTGATTCAGTGTTAACCTAAAGGCAGAGCAGGTATCAGGCACACGGCCTTAGACCACTGATATCTATCCTGCTTCCAAGGGATCCAAGGGAGAGAAATTGTGCTCAGGGACCACAGTTTTGGCAATTCCTTTGAAACTAACCAAAACTCATGAGTTTCATGAGTTCCATCCTCTGTATATGGTTTGCCAGTTGCTCCAAATCATTAACATTAAGGGACTTTTCACTTGTATCCAACTTTCAAAAAACATATGTCCTTTTCTGTCTTTCTCTCTTTCACTCTATCTTTCTAGCATACTCTCAATAAATTTATTAACCTTTTTAAATTGACTTCATTATCTAATTCTGCCAAAATAACTGGTTTCCTTTTAAGATAAACATTTTAAAGTCCTAATACCCAGATGGAAGACTGAGAAGCTAACATTTATTGAAGGCATACCATGCACACTGCTAAGCATTTTTTACTGTGTATCATATAGAGTAATTTATAAATAATTATCCAAAAATATTTATAAATGCAATCTGTATCCAAGTACTTTTTTAAGTAAATTTTTTTTCTTGTCTGCTTACATATATATATATTTTTTTTAAATTACCTGGCATGTCTCTTTTTAAGTTTGTGTATTTGCTGATTTATTATTTTATAAATCTTTACTGACCACATAATATTAGCACCTATGTGAATGATCTCATTTAATCTAAAGCTTGGGTTTCTTAACAAACAAGTTACAGGCCAGTATTTTTATGTTAGCTAAAAAAATAATAAGTGCAAATTGTCCATCTACCTTCTATATGTGGCATCTGTAGGCCATAAGGATGACTTGCCCATGAGTCTTAGGAACCATGTGGGGGGGACCTACTAAAAAACTAGATTATGTACTAGCTACATTGTTTATTAGCAGGTCTCTAGACCATCACCAGTGGCACAAGAGACAGAAGGAATCTTGCTTAACTCTAAAATCTGCCATTCTCTTGTCTTCCTCAGGTAGTGCTGGCACCCCAGTAATGTTTAACAAGAATGGAGATGCACCAGGGCGGTATGACATCTTTCAGTACCAGACAACAAACACCACAAACCCCGGTTATCGTCTGATTGGACAGTGGACAGATGAACTTCAGCTCAATGTGAGTTCTGTTTTTCCCTCTCCCTTTGCTTGTGTGATGAATTAACAGGCCTTTAACATACTCAATAGGCAAATGATTTTGTGTGTTTGTGCATACATGAGTGAACATGAAACTTATAAGCATCAGCAAGGACTGAGTAAGAGAGCAGTGATAGTGATGACATTCATGATGATATAGAGAATAATAGGAAATATGTGTTGAGTTTATGCCAGACATACTAGCACCTATGTGAATGATCTCATTTAATCTGAGGCTCGGATTGCTTGACAAACAAGTTACTAGCTAATACTTTAATACTGTCACAAGATCCTTCTCTTGGTAAGATCTACCTACCCACCTATCTTCCTTCCTCCCTTCTTTCCTCCCTTCCTTCTTTCCTTCCTTCCTTCCCTCCTTCCTTCCTTCCTTCCTTCCTTCCTTCCTTCCTTCCTTCCTTCCTTCCTTCCTTCCTTCCTTCCTTCCTTCCTATTTGTGGTGTATTTTTTATTTTGATGCATTTTACTGAGTAACTTTGTTTTATATTGAGACTCTCTGAGTAACTGCAGCTTTAGCCATTTCCATAACCTCTCCCCTTTTCTGTTCATTGCAACCATGAGTAAGCAGCCACTTTCTTTTGTGTGTGGTTATATCAAAGACCACCCAGCAGAGACCATCAGGAGCTCATCTGTAGTCAAACACTGTTGGGCTTATTTAACATGCTGAATAAAGAACAAGCTTTTGCCAGCAAAACTCTGGGGTCATTAGGATGAAGGAGATGGAATGGGAGTTATGGTAAGCTTTGGGCTGAGTCAAGTGATTAAAGCAGGTTTAGGGGTGATTAAAGCTGGGTCCCATTTTGGTTTGGATTCTCTTAGGAAGTAGAAGTAACTTGCTGATTATATGTCTTGGTGACTTTTACCTAGAAGATAGGAGGGTGAAATTTAGGTGAGAGTTGTCATTAACAAAGAACAAGTAGGCATTTTTGTGGTTGCAGAGTATCCTTGCTTCTGTCTAGTTTCAGGCATGATGACGGAATGGCCTTCTTTTTGTCTTGCTCCACCACAGTCATGGAGTGACCTTGTCTGATCACCACTTACACTCTGCTAAAGTTGTTGGTGTTGTGTTTGAATTTTCTTGCCTTGCCGTTAGTTGACAACTGTAAGAACATCTTTTTTTTTATTCTTAATATTTTAAGTTGAGCATTCAACAGTGTGCTTCCAATAATACTTACAATACTCTATTTGAAATGATCATTAGTTTTAAGTGAATATGCTAACTTTACCAGGGAATAAAGAACACAGGCTGGACCACCTCCACCCTGGCTGGGCTCAGAACACCTGGAGTTCAGCACATCAAGCATCCCCTACATTTCCTCTCTACCCAGGAGGGTGATTAAATAGGCCAGGCCCCAGCCTGGTGGCCAGGGTCCTGGAGACTTGGGGTGGGAGCAGAAGTTGGAGAACCAGGTGCACTACAGGGCCTCTTCTGCTGAGATGCACTAAACAGGGTTACACTTCATAAGGTTCTGCAGTAGGTCCCTCCATATGGCCCTTAGACTGTGGATGGCATTCACCGGGGTCGTTGTTGCTGGGTGCATTGGGTAGGGCTTGCCAGGTCCATAAATATACCTTGAAATCATGGTATAGAAACACACAATTTTCTTTTGTCCAGGAGGGCACTGCATTACACTGAGTTCTCCAGAGAAATAAAACCAATAGGTAGGTAGGTAGGTTGATAAATAGTTAGGAATTGGCTCACACTGTCATGAAGGCTGAGACTTCCCAAAATGTGCAGTCAGAAAGTTGGAGACCCAAGAGAGACAATGGTGTAAGTTCTAGTCTGACTCCAAAGGCAGAAGAAGGTTAATGGTCAAACTCAAAAATTGACAGGGAAAAATTGGATTCTTTCTTACTCAGCCTTTTTGTTCTATTTAAGTCTTCAATTGAGGCCCACTCACACTGGGAGAGCAATCCGCTTTACTCAGTTTACCAATTAAAATGATCATCTCACCCAGAAACACCCTCACAGACATTCCCAAAGTTATGTTAACCAAATATCTGGGCACCCCATTGCCCAGTCAAGCTGGCACATGTGATGAACCATCACAAGCCCTGTCCATGGTAATTCTTTCTAATATCTCTTCCAAAGCTGGAAATTACTTATCAGTAGCCTTTAACAATTTATACCTTACTATGTGCTATGGAAATTCCTGAGAGCAAGGCTTCTTGAGAGTGGGATATAGAATTGATATCTTCGAGGGGTTTGGGTTGTAGATGCTAAGAATGGAGGATTGTGCATAAGGGGGCAGGGGGTGAGTAAAGTCGGCATAAGCCAATGACTTCATTTGCACATTGCCCTGCCTGACTCTGCTTGTACCTGTCTAGTTCTCTTTCTCCTGAGGTCCATCATCCAGGTGAACCCACCCAAATGTTGTGTCTGAAGGATTGTGATCTGTCACCTAAGAATGGATGGAGCTGGAGAGCTAGACAGCCAGTGCCAGCTGTGGCTGAGGTGAATGCTAGGGTTAAAACCAAACAAGAAGCTAAAAGTATTCTGAATTCAAGGCATTTTTTCCCAAGCAAAAGAAAAAATTAAAGCAAAACTAATAAACAGCCAGAACCTAATAGGTAAAACCCAAGGGGTAGTCATCAAAAGCACTATCAAAGCAGCAGAACCTTGCTGACATACCAGAAGTGTTTTCTTATTGGTTGCTACCAGAGTGATACAAAGGTGCTCCAGCCAGAACTAAAGGCAGGAAATCGAGGTCTGTGGTAAGAAGTGAAGTGCTCAGGGCTATTACATGACCCAGGAGATTAAATAACACATTAATCATTTCTAGTACAACCTCTGCACCAGAGGTAAATTTCTAGCAAATGTAATTTGTCCATGCATACAAGAATTCCCAACCAGCCTTCACCAACTTCAGACAATACCTGGAGTTTTAAAGCAAAACTATTTTTAAGAACCATCAACACTGATACTCTTTTGTTTGTTTGTTTTGTATTTTATCCTGCTTAAGAATTATATTTGATTACCCATTCAATGGGTTTTTTGTGGGGGTTTTTGTTGTTGTTTTTAAAAGCACCTCTCGTGTGATACACATTGTGAAAGTGGGTACATAATGGAGAACAAAACAAATGTGGTCCCTGTTCTCCCATATGTGATGATCTAGCATGAAGTTAGGTGGTAAACAAGTAAACAGATACATGTGTGGAAGTTCCAAAGTGTAATAATCAGTGTGGAGGGAGAGAGTATAACAGAGGTGGAGGAGGACCTACTGGATGAGAAGCAGGCAATGTGAGGACTATGAGGGATCCACCAGGCAGGTCAGAAGACTGACGGAGGGACAGTGGCATAACTAGGGGAGAGCAGGAGGAACTGAAGCAATAGGTAAGAGCCAGAGTGTGCAGTCTTTTTATAAGCCATGATAATTATTTTAAAATTTTATTACAAATGCATTTAAAAATCATTAGAAATATTAAACAAGGAGTGATTGGATAAAATTTAGGAATAAAAATTACTTTGCTGGGAAGGCAATGAATTGGAAGAGGCAAGAATGGACATAGAAATGTCAAATACAAGTCCGTTACATTCATCAAGCTAAAATAGGATGGCTTAGTGAAGGAGTTCTCAAACTGCAGCATGGGACCAAATCATCCAGAGGGCTTATAAAAACAGACTGTTGGCCTCTCATCCCCAGAGTGTCTGGTAAAGAAGGTCTGAGAGTGGGAAGAGGCCCAAATATTTGCTTTCCTAAGGAGTCCCTATGTGAAGTTGATGGCACTCTGGCTGTGAGTGAGAAGGGTAAATTTCAGAATCCCAATTTAGGGTTTTTTTCCGAACTAAAAGGAGGTATAAAGCAGGTATATCATCATATCCATAAATCAAGTATAGATAGTATTACCGAGAAATAGCAGCAATGGCTACAGGTAGACAAAAGCACATTTTGAAGACTATTAAAGTCAGGTTTGTAATTGTGCTAATAACCCCACCCAACAGCCCTTCACAATGACACAGGTCAAATCTTAGGAATTATCTTTGGCTTTCCACTTCTCATAGCCTTACAGTCCAACCATAATCAAATCCTCTAGCTCTATTTCGAAGATAGATCTTTTATGGAGGACATCATTAATGTTCAACAAAGATCCCCAATCTTTTTCAAATTCCCCAGTCCCTATGCAGTTAGGTTGAAACCAGGGACTTAATTCAAGCCAAATAAGTTAGAATGGAAATCATGAGTATCACTTCTAGTCTAAGATAATTAAGAGCTGATGTGCTTCCTTTACCTTGCCCTTCCCCTGCTGCTGTGACATTGAAAACCATGTATCCCAAAGAGCGTGGCTAGAAAATGGAAGATATTTGGATTCCTCAGTCACCATCTGCAGAGGAGATATTCTTAGAGAGCTGCCCAAACTGCATCAGACTCTGAAATGTGAAACACACTTTTATTGGAATAAGCCCCAGAGATTTGGGGATTTGTGTCTTGTAGCAGCTAACATTAATTACTCAAAAAATCAACAAGACTGATACCAGGAACAGGCTGGGGCTTTTCTAACAAAAACAAAAGAGATCAATTGTCTGGGCAACCAGGAAAATGAAATTGAAAGTCGAAAAGATATTCATTCCTTTTATCATTAGCAAAACATGTATAATGCTATTGCCTGTAGTATCTCTTGGTCATATCACACTGAGCTATCAACTCTAAAAAAAGAGGAGAAAATTAGTGTGAGCTGCCTAGTATTGGCTCTAAAAATGTCATCTCTCCACCGGGGACTTTCCTCTCCCCACTCCCCACAATTTAGTCTTGCCTTTTTCTTAAATATATGAGATAAAATGAAATGAGTATGTCTGTAGCTCGGAAAAGAGTTTGGGGCTATAGTTATTTTTTTAAATGTAGTTGTTAATCTATAAATGGCCATTAAATCTATTAGAGAGAGAGAAGAGAGAATAGGGGTCAGGGAAAGGCCTTAAAATCCTCATAGAAAATGGTACAGTTTCATTCTAACTACTCTAAACCATCC